CAAGAGCGAGAAAGGATGAAAAGGTTCACAGACTTGCACATGTCTACTCGCCTGAAGGCACATGTGACTGTCTAGTCTGTATCTCAGCCTGTATGTGTTTGGGTGTATGTGTAAATGCGCGTATTCTGCCTCCTTGCTGGGGTGGACGTAGGGAAGCCGTCGGGCCGCAATACAGCTTGGCCGACCGATCTGCAGAGGAGGCATGTGAATTGGTGCAGTACAACACAGCTTCAACAGCTACACCAGATACCGCTGCTGCCTTCAAAGATTGCTTCTGCCCGGCAGAAGAGGCCAACCGGACGAAACCAATGCTTGTAGGCAAGCCGCAATTGTCTGGGCATTTGGCGAATTCAAGCGTAACCATCGGCTTCTTAGCAGAATTGTCTTGAGACCGAATCCGATCAACCAGACCTGTAGGATGGCTAAATTTCATAACATGTATGAAGAAACATTAACAAATTAATGTTATTCGAATTTTTATATCGAATGAAAAGTTGTTTGGAAAGAGAATTGCTTTGGAATGAAGACATAGAACCTGATCCAAAACTACGAAATACATCGTTACTTTCCTGTCGATGATTTGGGGATATGGTTACAACCGTCTCTTTGACTATATTACCTAGCTTTTTATTTTACAATGCTGACGTAAGTTTAGTCATATGTCAGTAGGTGTATTGTGTTTTGCATTGTTTAACTCGAGTGCGATTTGAAGAGCAAAATTAGATAAAAATAATGATTACGATTATAGCCAACCATTTTACCTGTTCAGAAGCCTTTCGTTTGGTATAAAAGTCCCTAATGCCGTTTGGCCCAACCACGACGCCTGGAATGAAGCAGTTTACAAGACATCTGTCCTAATTTCGGTTGAAAACAGGATGAACATTCGTCCAGCATGCTAGTGGACAGGGATCTTCAGAGTTGGAACACATTTTTGCGAAAGCCTTAAACTAAGTCAAGTCAAGAATATCAGTCGACTATACCCTACATGCAACATATAGTCACAACTAAAAACGAAAACAATATAGTAGGTATGAAGACCAAGATGGTGTGGTCTTTTGTGTGGTCGCAGTCTCCTTTCGTTGTATATGAGTTGTTTGACCTTGTTTTCGTAACTCGGTCATATTGGTAGGAAGACTTAGAGGAACACACCTAGTTCGGAGTCCATTGTATGCATCATCATTTCCAGAGTAGGACCTTTAACGTGGTATAGATATAATTATGTATATAGAATTATTTGATTAGTCCTCATTCATAGTAATAATGATATGTATACGTAAGGCCTAACGCTCAATCGCCGACGCAAACACGCACATACTCAAGTATATGTACTTTAATTATTATAAAAGAAGAATAACCAGATCATTCTATGTATTTCGTTTAAGGTGGAAAGAATACGCTTTGGCACCCTGTATGTAGCCTTTTGGTATGCAAGGCTATGTGACATTTACTTAAAACGTAAAATCTACTCATATCATTGTGGAAAAATTCAACCTCCATTCCTTATAATCTAAACGAAATAGGGTAAATACATTTCATTCTATAGCTATTTATATACATATATTTTTGTTTTAGCTGTGAAAGTATGCTGCATGTAGAGTAGAGCCAGCAAGTCTTTTTCTTCAAGTAAGATTGACCTCTAAGTTAGACAATCAATAATAATATCTCGGAAGAATCATCGAAACCCAGTTACTCTTAATATATACACCGTACCTGCATTATGTGTATTTTTCTGTAGAATTACAGACAAAAGCCCAACACGGATTCATCGGAGTAAAATGACGATGGATCGAAGACGTCATCACACAATACAACATTCTCCTTGGATTAATAGTGAGGCCAATTCGATTATGGGCATGATACCAAATCCGAGAATGCCTGCCTTAGGGTGGGATTTCGATTCCAAATCTGCTTGACTCAAACGGGCAGATCTCCTGTATTGGATAATTCTTTTACAGTTGGCTAACGGTAATTTCTTAACGAAAAAGTTAGATAATACATTTCAACACTAGTGCTTCTAAAGAAATCGATACGGAAAGGCCCATATAAAAGAAATGAAAATGACAGAAGGTGGGAAAGTATGTTAATTATGACTGTGATGTTCTGAAGAAGGGTAAGAGCTAATATTTTTATAATCATCCTGAACTCAATGACGTGGAGTTCGAGGGTCAGTGAGATGAGACAAAAAGTTCCGAAGACAGGATGGAACAATTGCTACAAGTTGCCGAGGGGTGTATCATGTGGGATTATGAGGCCATTTAGACAGTATGCGAAACCGGTGGGAAAGAGAATTACTCCTCATTAGACCATCTAGAAGGTGTGCATAATTGAGCGTTATTGGTACAAACGAGGACAAACGAAGATATGAAGTTGGAGGAAATTGCCATATGAAGGGACATTGGGAGATGGGAGTATGGCTGAATGGCCTAGAACAAGGAGAGGAGTAATGGTAAAATCGTTGACCAGAAAGTTAAACATATTTCCATTATAAGTAGGCTTCGATACTGTCAATAAATTATGCACATGAAACTTCCGAATTCAACCATCTTTCCTTAATCACCTAGTGAGACCTACGGTGCCAACAGTTAAAATTGATGATTGACATACAGATAATCTCTAAACCTATTCATTATCAATATATAAATAACATAATTGATTGTAGTGGTACAGAAGTTCATCTCACGAAAATATGCGAGTTTATAGAGACCTGGTCTGTCTTGAATTTCACGTCCTCCCAGTTACAAAATTGCACTATTGACATCGACTT